ACCTGCTTGTAGGGGATTTCAACTTGCCCTGTTTAAACTGGGAAAGTGATCGATGTACTTTAAAACACATAGGCAAAGCAGAAGTTCAATTTGCAGCGCAGACTTTAATCGACGAACTTCAGTACCTAGGATTATCACAATATAATAGTATACCTAATGCTAGTAATAACATTCTCGATTTGTGTTTTTCTAATCTTACATTAAAAGTAAATCGAGTGCCGCCACTTACTAAAGAAGACAATTTTCACCCTCCTTTTGAAATTAATATTATTGACTTGTATATTAAACCATTAAAAGAGAAGTACACGGCTCGATACAATTATCATAAATGTAATTATACCACAATAAACAAGTATCTCAAAAACGTTGATTGGAATAAAACACTTGAGGCTGATAATATCAATATAGCAACAAAACAGTTCTACAGTAAGTTACAGGAGTGCTTTGATTTGCATATTTCTTTCAACATTAAAAGCGGGTCATACCCGGTCTGGTACAGTAAAGCTCTTATTAACATAATCAAAGAAAAAAATAAAGCTCATAAAAAATGGCGGAAATTTAATAATCCTAGGGACTACGATGTTTTCAAGCTTTTAAGATCTCGTCAACACCGTGTACAAAGAGAATGCCTTGACCGTTTTACCAATAATGCTGAGCATCATATCCGGTATAACCCCAAATACTTCTGGACCTACATAAAGAATAAAAGGGGAAGCACTAATTATCCGCATCAGTTCTTACTTGATAATCAAATATTCAGCAATGGTACGGATATTTGTGCAGCGTTTAGTAAATTTTTTGAAAGTGTATTTGTTGAGCCTGCATCGGGTGATAAGAACATTACAATATTAGAATCTCAGAATGATTTCACCTGCATTAAAACTTTATCTAGCATACACGTTACTGAAGATAATGTTAATAAACTATTGCAATCTTTAGATACGTCAAAGGGACCTGGATGTGATGGCATACCACCCATATTTTTTAAATCGTGTATCGATAGTTTGGTAATCCCAATTACAATTTTATTCAGGCGCTCACTGAAAGAATCCGTTTTTCCAGATGTATGGAAAAAGGCTCTAATCACACCGATTCATAAGAAAGGGTCGAAATCGAATATCAAAAACTATAGGCCGATATCTATTTTGAATACGCTGGGAAAATTGTTAGAAAAGGTAGTTTTTGATTTTATTTATAACGCAATTTCAATAGGTATACCAGACACCCAGCATGGTTTCATGCAGCGCCGCTCAACAACCTCTAATCTGTCACTTTTTACCAACTTTGTTTTAAATAGCATGGAGAATGACGGTCAGGTGGATGTGATCTACACGGATTTTGAGAAAGCTTTTGACCGTGTGGATCACTTCATACTTTTACAAAAACTTCAATCATTAGGCATACATGGTGATTTATTGAGATGGGTATCTTCATATCTGTCAAATCGCTCCCAAGCAGTAGTTTTGGGTGGATTTAGGTCAGATTACATCTCTATCCCCTCTGGCGTGCCACAGGGCTCCCACCTTGGTCCTCTTCTATACAACGCGTACATACATGACATACATGCATTTATTGATAGCTCCTTTCACCTATGTTATGCCGACGACAAAAAAAATTATTTACAAATTAAAACCATCCGAGACTGAAAAACTTCAATCTGACCTAAATCAACTGTTTACGTATAACAAGAAAAATAAAATCTCGGTCAACATCAACAAATGTCATTGTATATCTTTTACCCGCAAAAGAAAACTGATTAATTACCAATACAACTTTAACGGAGTTCTAATCGAAAGAGTAGACGAGGTGCGTGATTTGGGTGTAATATTGGATTCAAAGTTGACCTTGGTAAGTCACATAGATAATATTATTAAAAAATCTTATAGAAACCTCGGATTTGTTATGCGTTCATGTCAACCTTTTAAAAACATCATAAGTTATAAAATTGTCTATTGTGCTTACGTTATAAGTATTTTGGAATTTGCTTGCCAGATTTGGTCACCACATTATGCAATACAAGTAAATAGATTGGAATCCATTCAAAAGAAATTTTTATCAAGATTAAATTACAAATTCAATAAAACGTCCAATAAAAATAAATACACTGATAATTGTCGCTTATATTCTTTGCTCACCTTACAAGACAGACGTTACATGCTGGATATGGGGCTGCTTTTTGACATACTGAGAGGCCGCATTGACAGTCCTGAATTACTAGCTCTTATTACATTTAATACACCTAAATATCGTACAAGGCATACACCGATGTTTTATGTCCCTAGACACCACACATCGTACGGTAATAATGCGGTTGTTACTAGACTCATGCGAACGTTTAATGCGAAGTTTAATAGCCTTGATCCGTTTATCACTTGTAAGAGAACTTTTATGACCAACATAAGAAAGATGCTTACAAAATAAACCAAATTGAAAAAAAAAAACACAAAAAAAAAAAAAAAGAAATGGTATATGTGTGCAACACTTACTAAAATGTATTTATTAACGGGAGTAAAATAAATGCCTATTAAAAATATGTATGATTGTATGACATGTATTATTATATATGTATCTTTTACCTTATTATTATATAATATATATCTATTACTTTTAATGTGACAATTAGTATGATATGTATAAATAATGTATTTATTTGTATCAATAAGTGAGAAGTTGGCAGACAAGGTCGAGCGCGGCGGCCGGCAGCGACGGCAAACGACTACTTACCATTACGCACTGTCGAGTGTTGATCCTACGGTTGATGCGCTCGGCCACTGACAATATTGTTTTACCCTCAACTGAAGCTGAGTATTTTATGTGGATAACTAATATTGACCTTCTAAGTAAATTCTAGAATTAAGTATTGTATTGTAATTTGAGGTTGTTGTTATCCCAAATAAATAAAATAAAATAAAAAATATCGGAACATACCCTATGTCACTATGAGGCACTGAAGAAGAGGCCGTAACAAGCGGCTCACTTGAGTCCAAAACTTGCACTACACTCGATTCTTCAGGCAAAACAGCTGATTCCGAGTCCTGAGCCTTCGAAGACGCCATGGTAGTCACAATGTTGTATTGGCAGTTGAGATTGTTTTACGTACTCCTGACGTAAAACAATCTCAACTGGAAGGCGAATAAACAGTGACTGACAGATTGTTTGTATAAACATAAAATGGCGTCATTTTGATACATTACAGATAAAATTTAATCTTAAGCATATTTTCTCTAATTATGTAATCATATAATATAATAATTTAGCATATTTTTTTTATTATTTACATGTTTGAAGTTTGTATATTTTAATCAACGTAAATTATGACATAATTTTGTTTTGCATTGTACTAGTTTTATTATTTTTTTTGGCTGTATGTAAAATTACCTTTGTTTGTAATTACCCCAAATAAAAAGTACAGCTAAAGCAAACTTGTCAAATAATGTCAATATTGGTTAGGAAATTTTTGATTTTCAATATTTTTTTCTCAAAAACTATGAAGTTCCGTAAAATGAAACTTTACAGAATTACGTCTTTATTATAGATCTTTTCACCAAAAAATTACCAACTTTCATATCGTGGGGGGATATTGTACAGTTTAGCCTATAGATTATCCCATAATTTAAAAAATGAAATTAATATCAAAAAGTTTGTAACGACATTGAAGCAAATTCTTATTGACAAGTGTTATTATAATGTCCAAGAATGTTTTGATGACAAATTGTAATATTTTATTGCTGTTGACATAACATGTTTTTCTTTCTTCCTTGACAATTTAATTTATCTCTTGACAATTTAACTTTTGTTTTGTTTTGACATCTACATTGTGACATAATTTATAATTTTTAATTCTAAGCATTTGACCTTTATTGTACTTAATTGAAAATGACCTGACAATTAACATTAATTTTATATACTTATGATTATTTTTAAAATGAAAATTAGGGACGAATGTGAATTTAAATGAAATTTTATGAATGTAAGATATTGAGGAAAGTGAAGATATAGAAGATTTTATTTAAAGCATTTACATAAACAACAAAATTCACTAAAATGATTTTTTTCTCTTCAAATAATTAGCAAATTAAGATATATTTAACTATATACATCAAAAAACCATAATTTCACTTTTTACGATGTTACAAGAAGGCCTCACAGAGTTTATGTAAATAATTCCAATTCGATTTTATACAAATACAACAGTATAATTCTAATTACCTGTATTCTTTTTCTGGACTTTCCTTATCGTTAACTCATAAAGCTTTAAAATTACAAACGGTTAAGATGCTATAATATTTCATGTTAAGGTATCTTAATATAACATTACTTTAACATCTGAAACTATCTCACATGGTAAAGATTACGATAATATAAATACAATATTTCGTATCTTAAGATATCATCTTAACCTACAAAATATATATTTCCCGATCGCTTGGCATCTATATTGTCTATAGATGCCAAGCGATACGGCATCTATATTTAAGATGAAAATATGATACTATCTTAGCAGTGTGTGTTAGGCCATTGGAATGTATGGCGAGCGATATTTAATCTTAAGATATCATATTATTAATACTGTTATTGTAATGAGATATGGCTACATACAGTATATAGCACCATCTCTCATTGAATCTTGCCTTGCACTGAAAACTTATTTTCGTATAAAATAAATACAATAAATTTCGTAATTAAGAATCAATTTCATCTAATTTCAACAAGACTAAAATTTAGAATGTATTAATGTTTACAAGCATTTAGCCCTTTGCAAATTATTTGACTAAATATTTTATACATTATTGGCGACAAATTAAGATATCTAATACATAAACCTATCACATCGATTGTTATCAGTGAACAATTATAATCATAAGTAAATATTGTAAACAGTAAACAATTTATTATTAATATTATACTATACTATTACTAGAAATCATATTCACGTTTATTTTCATTTTTTACATAGCAAATAAGAAGGAAAGAAATTGTCTATAGCTACTTATGCTTATTTATGATCGATATTTTAAAATAATCTTAAAAATTTCCATTAATTCGTCGTCGGGTAAAACAAACGCGACTCTCTCCTCAGTGACACCCATCTTCTGGAATATGGCCGTAAAGTATTCCACTTGTGATCTACTCGATTTTTTTGTCGTAGTCAATTCTGTTTCTTCAGCATCCATGCTCTCCTCTAAACTTTCATTGATACGACCAAAACCAGCGAGTATACTCTGCATTTGAGCCATATAATCAGACAACTCGTTCGTCTTTGTCTGACGTATATGCTCAACCTTATTCAAGAGATATTTTTCACGATCTTTGATAGCCTGAGCGTGACACCGTTTAGATTCCTTGATTTTATTTTTAACATCAGCAGCTTCTACTTCGTAACTATTGATTATAGATGGTATACGATATATTTCATTTTTAATCGTATTCATGATACTTTCTTCATATTCTACTATTTCAAGCGCTTCTAAGCAACATTTCTCATAAAATCCATTTATTGGCGTGTATTGGTGTTGTTTATGAGCGTATAAAATGCATTCCTGGCAGATAAGGACAAAACATCCTTTACAATATAACCTTAAAGGGTTTCCGTGAAGTTTGCAATACATAAGATCATCACATGAACGGTTGTACGCGTGATGATAACTTGGAAAAAATATGTGTTTGAGTAACTGACAGACAGATGTGGTTCTGTAGGAACATTCGTGGCAATACAAATCTTTACATTGGATGCAATGAATCGTGGGCAAACGTTCTTTGCAGCGAGCACAGGTGTCAGATGCTGACCTGCCCAAGTATTATTATTTTGGAAATTTTCTTCCGCTGTTGTCTATCTGTTCTAGCTTTATCATACCCATCGCCAATGGTCCCCAGCGGATTAGATCTGTCTTCAATCGGGGGCAGACTCTTAATATTATTAGGCACATATTGAACTATCCGCATGGATTCTAATAAAGATGGATTGTTATTACTATCCAGGAAATTAGAAAGAAAGCGTCTTATGATTTCCTGTTCTTTGGAGCTTTCGTTGGATGAGGCACTGGGCGCGGCTGTCGTATAAGACTGCATACTTGAAGCGACGAATCTTGTAATATTCTATGACGACACACTATAGCGTTACTGGTCACGTCTAGAACTGTAAATAAACGAAATTCATATTAACAAAAATTTACATTTGAACGATAATGACAATATATTATTTGTCGTGAATATGGTATAGGCTAAACATACAGTCAATAACATTTTAAAAAGTTGATACCAGACGATGTATATCTTTAATATTACGATATAACTTCGACTGCAATATCATCTATTATAAAATTTATCAATTTTGTTTTCACAATGCTATGCTGAAAAATATTTTTAATGAAAAGTGATTAAAAAATCTACTTTGTACCTGGTGATATGTCAGAGTACCAAGGACAAAGTGGATTTTTAAGCAATATTCACTAAGAATTTTATGTTTTTTTATATAAATTAAACTCTTATTTAGCCAAAAAATTTACTTATTGTTAATATTTATTAGGTAAATTTAAAATGCAATAGTTTTTCATGTTACTGATGAATTTTAATAACCAAAAATATTTGCTATATTTTCTAGATGAATATTGATTTATGATTAATTATTATTTTATTTTCTTTACATTCCCGTGTGTGTGAATTCAAAAAGCTACAAGTAGTAGAAAAATATCTTTCATAATTCAAACATTTATTTCACTTACGTAAATTCCTATAACGTAAGTGATCTGGGACTTTGAATGAATAAATAGCTTATAAATAGACTGTACAACTATTTAAATTCATTCCATTTATAACTCATCTATACTAATGTATTAAAGGTGTCGAAAATACAGGACTTAAAAATAATAATATGTAACCGGGTCTTGTTCGTGCATTATTTTAAAACTATTTGTTTACCTTCTTCGACGTTTCGGCTACGTTGCAGCAGCCGTGGTCACGAGGAGACTGGAGAACAGGCGGGTGTCGTCTTCTGATTATAGTTGAGGCGTGAGGGTAATCCGGTAATAACGTTTTTAACATCTGAAAATCTGTTAATTAATAAACAAATAGTTTTAAAATAATGCACGCACAAGACCCGGTTACATATAATTATAATGTATACAAATCGTGTGAGTTTAAAGACATTATTAAAAAATAATATTTATTAATACCCAGAATTTCTTGGACAAACTTCCTATTTTTTTATGAAATTGATAACGTTAATCAAAGTCCAAAATTAAATAAATCTATAATAACTTACACAAACATTATTTAGAAACAACATAACTAAAATAAATAACAATAATTAATATAATACATATAAACCCAATATTCCCAAAAGACTTCAGTAACTCGGATACCAATTTTCAAAATTAAGTAAAACTATAACAGCTTACACAAACATTAATTATAATTTCAAGAACTGAAACAAATAGCAATATAATAATTATTTACATACCCAAGAGACTCCAGCAAGATAAACTCCGACACTCACAGAAGTTAAATACATCAACTTTACTTAAAAAGCACAAGAATCTTGTATCTTGTACCCCTGATGGTTGTTGCACTTGAACTGACTAAACCTCTGACTGACCTTTTACATTTCAATGCAGTTTTTGAAAGAAAGTCGACCCCAAATTTATTGTGCAGCCTTTCCTCTCGTGGTGGTATTATTACACACTATAGTGTTAGGTAGTAATTCTAGAGCGAGATAGATATAATGTGCTCCGTATAGTAGGATTTCTTATGATTAAGCTTGGAACGTGTTGTCAGGCAGACAGTACAGAATCTATTCCGAAAGATGAAGTATATTATAGAGAAAATGAATTGAAAACGCGATGAGGGATTTTTTTTTTAACTATTTTATCGAATGACAAACACATCTTAGTTAATTAGAATGACAAAAACAGGCTTATTTAAGTTTACACGGCTACCCAATTGTTAAAGGTTCACGTATGTCCTACATACATTCGAGAGATTTTTATTAAACCACAAATTATCTTTTAAAATAGGTTGTAAAGGTACCATCGTTATCTCCGTAGGAAATTAAGAAACGTAAACATTCTCTTTGCAATTCTATACGATCCACGCGTGCCTGAATATCTGAAATCTAGGTTGCAGTACTTGGGTGTCTCTCATCAAAAACAATTTTGCTCCAGTTCTAATCTGGTACTCCAGACTCCTTCTCATCATTCTATGTTTGTTTCCAAATCTTTTTCTCTTACTGCTATACGGCTGTGGAATGCACTACCTCTCGACGTACGAAATGCTCCGAATAGGTTAATTTTCAAGAGAAAAGCGCGTGAACACTGTCTAAAAGGTAACAACTTTTCCTGATATTCTAATCTGACATGTCGATGTTTATTTTACTGTCGATGTATTTTTTAATGTTTGTATTTGTGTGATTGTATGTGGGGTATTTTCTTAATATATATATATATATATAGTATATATATTTATATGTGTCTATATATGTGTATGATTGTTAATTGTATCAGATGCTAACTCTCCATCACTGTCACTGCCTTACAAATTTTCTGTTTATCCTCTCCGGTTGACTGGTAGAGAATGCCTATGGCATTAAGTCTGCCATTTGCAGTAATATGGCAATAAAGATTAAATAAATAAATAAATCAAATTAATAAATAATAAAAAAAACAAGTTGGCATGGCTAAGCAAAATTCTCACTGCAGTTGTCTTCCCATTCCCCTCTTAGATTACAAATGTTCAACAGAACGGTCCACCGACTACAGTGAGAATTGTTTTGTTTTAAATTTACTTAACAAACCGAAAAATGTCTTATTATTATCTCTCAAACAATTGCCATGAAATGTTAAAATAAAATACGGATAGTTCCCCATAAAGTACAGCAAAAATAATATTTCTTTTATCGAAACATATTAAAGAAACCGCTGAAACAGCGTTACAGCCGTATATGTATTTGTATTTTCACATTTGTTTTCATAAGTTCTAAAAGTATGAATGACAATCATTTAAAAACTGAGAATTAAGAAAATGAAAATGCCAAAAAGGTTTGCGTAGCAAATCATCAAACACATATACCTATGCACATTTTACACGAGGGATTTATTTAACCTGCCTACCTATGTGAACCTTTTTATAAACAAAAGATATTATTATAACTACTGACCTTCTGAGTATTAAAAAAAGAGCCCAAAGTATTAAAGGGTCTTTGATAAAATTCAAAAACTTATTATCTTTTATTTTATGAAAAGCCTGGAGTTTATGTATTTATGAAACTTAATGGTTCTTAAAATCTGTTTTGAATTTGCATATTCAATATGATTTTTATAGAGGTAGACTTTTTTAAAACTAAGCTGTTATTGGACCAGATATCGTGTCTATACAAATAAGACAAGCTCCAGCTCCAGAGGATTGCAACTTCCATTTACATTCGAAGATTTCTCAAGCTAAGAAAACATTTATTTATATTTTCACTATTTGAATTACTCTTAATAATAAATGTGTAGTATAGTAATGTGTATGTGTTCAGAAATAACCGGCGAAGAGTTTAAATAAAAATCAAGTTTTTATCAATCAATATATATTTTCCATAAAAAGTACAAAAACAGACATTACATTATAAAGCACCACTCAATTGATACATCAAATCCACCCATTACTTAAATCTACATACATTTATAATTATTACATATTGATATAACATGGACGAAAATATAATTATCAGACAAAAGACTTCTAAGTCAGTGGTTTGACCACTGCTACATAAATGTATATCAGTTTTCAAAGCATTACGAGTGAGTTGATGCAATTATACCAACATGTACACATAAATTTAACCTCACGGAAGCACAAGCGACGGCGACGACGGCAATCAAATCCATCGCCGGCACCGCCATAGCCTCCGATGACAGTACAGCAATACTAGAACTATCAGTTACAAGTAATGTATATTTATTGTAGCCATCTCCTCTTTGGCGTGTTTATTTCAGTTATTATGTGCGCTTCTCTTACGTTGTGAAAATACGAGAAAATGCATGTATACAATTTATACTATGACTAAATATAGCACCTAGATAACCTTATATAAGTAGCATAAAAAAAAGATAATTACATCATTAAAATTGAGTTCTTTCGTGCAGAAAAACACAATCGCGCTATTTGTTACTACTAAATTCTGAGTGAATCTAAGCTGTTGAACGTACTGGACAAAAATTTAATTATATTTTAAAAAATATACTTTGGGATGGAAACCGAAATTTAAGCTAATTTGCTTTTGAAATATTATTTCTACAAACAATTAAAAATAAAAAGTGTAGAATGCCAATTACCAACGGATATCTGCGTCAATTAATTTTAAACACGTTAAATCGCTAAATGTAACATTTAAGAAAGATACTTTTGGTAAAATTAGAGAGCAATTTGATATAATAATTTAAAAACCTTTAATGTATTGACGTCTCATAACGGGTACTTTTTATTATTCTAGTTATCGTACAGACTTTAATATAATACTTACTAATACAGAATCATTACTAATAATACAATTGTGTCTAATAACTGAGGTACGCTAACAATGGATTTTGAAAAAAATAATTGTCCCAAAGGCAATTAAATAGGCATTGTAGATCGATCATGTTATCTATAAAATATTATTCAAATTAAATTTGAAAGATTTGATCCAAAAAAAAATTAACAATATACAAAAAAGCAACCATATTTAACGCAAAATTATATCACATAAATCATATTGCTTATAGAATGCTATTTCTCCAGTCAGACTAAGCTCGACTGGAATCGTCAAAACTGGTACATAGTTAAAATACATACAACAATTAAATTTAATTAAAAAAAAACATGCGGCCCTTAGCATTACTTAGTTTATTTATATGTATATAATTAACATCAACATACTTTGATGAAATGTTTGCCAACCAAAGAAGTGTCGCTAATTGGTCGCGATTCAAACAATACCACCAAATATCCCTCTGGTGTTAGAGCTACGTCACTTGGTCGGTCATTGTGGTCAAGGTCTGGACTCTTTAAATACTTAGTGGCCAGTAAGCGAAGCTCAGAAGTAAACACGA